GTGTGTGTGTGTGTGTGTGTGTGTGTGTGTGTGTGTGTGTGTGTGTGTGTGTGTGTGTCTGTGTCTGTTTATATATATATATATATATATATATATATATATATATATATATATATATATATATATATATATATGTATGTATGTATGTATGTATATATACATATTTACATCAATACATTTGATATATTTGTATATATGTCATTACAAAAAGAAATATAAGGAATCCCTTACATATCACACAATAAACACTGAATTCGTGACTGAGCGCGTGACGCCCCAATCAATACAGACAGCTGATTGCAGCCTCGGGTAATGACCCCCCACCCCCCACCCTCCCTGAGCCCAACCCTCTCCCACACAAATATCTCTTAAATTTAATTCTACAAATCTACACCTCTACTTTTCATCCGCTTATGCTTTTGTACGATTTGAGGCATTTTTATATGAGTATATCTACAGTATATCTTGTAATACCTAAGTATTTTGAAAACAAAACCTGGAATGACTGGTAGCTTGGTGACGCTCTCTGGGTTTTGTCAGTGACTGCTTTTTTTTTTTTTTTTTTTTTTTTTTTTTTTTTAAGATCTTGAGCTTATTAAATGATCCTTGTTCTCTCTTCCTCTTTGAAGTCCGGATCACACTGTAGTCACTAAATGCCGTAGTATTGAATCAACGACGCAGAGCTCGCGGTTATCTTATAACTCGTGGTCTCACAGCCACGCCATGGCCCCGGTACTCATTATTTCCTGTGCATTATGTCACTACGTCATCGGCGCGGCCATACTGCGTTGCGAACGAACTGCAGGAGGTGCACGTTGCTCCCTTGAAAGAGGTTCCCTCCGCCGAAAGCATCCCTCAACATTCACTACCAGATTCCCTTAATGAATACAAAGTTAGGAAGCGCATTGATACGTTCATAACGTATTTCTTATGAGTTTGAGAGCTCAGAGCCTTGAAGAAAGAAGGAACAAAATAAACCAAATAACATTCTTCGTGTATGTGCATGTATATATACGTATATTTTTTTCCTTTTTTTTTTACTTTTTATCTGTCCGCGTCATGCAAGTCTTGAATGACTGGTATAACACATATACAAAGTTACAACATGCATGATATATTTACACAGACCTAATTGCGATGGAACATAAATTTTATTAAGGAATTATATATCTCTTCATCATAGTATCATTATACATTATATGATTATGATAAAGTAATAGTTTTCTTATGGTAGTAAGAAAATATATTAAATATTACAAAATAATTTGATAACAATGAGGAACATAGACCAATGAGTAAAACAAGGTTGGTGGTAAACCTCATAATTTAAATAAACACACACACACGCACACACACACACACACATATATATATATATATATATATATATATATATATATATATATATATATATATATATATATATATATATACATGTATATATATATATATGTGTGTGTGTGTGTGTGTGTGTGTGTGTGTGTGTGTGTGTGTGTGTGTGTGTGTATGTGTGTGTGTGTGTGTATATGCGTGTGTGTGTGTATGTGCGTGTGTGAGTGTGTGTGTGTGCGTGTGTGTGTGTGTGTGTGTGTGTGTGTGTGTGTGTGTGTGTGTGTGTGTGTGTGTGTGTGTGTGTGTGTGTGTGTGTGTGTGTGTGTGTGAGAGAGAGAGAGTGTGTGTCTATGTTTATTTACATACATATATGTGTATATATGTGTATATATACTCACACACACACACACACACACACATACATATGTATATATATATATATATATATATATATATATATATATATATATATATATATATATATATATATATATATATGTATATATATGTATATATATATATATATATATATATATATATATATATATATATATATATATATATATATATATCGTCCACAGCTTCCTCTATGACCACTGAGTAAGCCATAAGTCATTGTCTTACATTTCTATTTTTTAATCACACATTTTTCGGATCATGGTTATACTCTCCAATGGATCCAGAATCCATGTTTTGACCTTAGTCTTACTTTACAATATAGATATGTCAAACTGATACACAACACCACCAATTATAATGAGAGCTTGAAAGTAAAGATAAATTCCGAGCAATAAAGGCAAATCTTGTGCATTTTATATGAGACTATGGACTGTATGATGTGTGACTCTTTGTAACCAAGTTCTGCAGCAACAAATGCAATTATAATAACGACAGCTATTTCTTGAATCATTTCTAGTTTTGATGATAATAAAGATAGTAATTCCTGATAGAATTATTGACAGTAATGGTAGCATTTACGAAATAAGAATGTCCTTGGTAATTATAGAAAAGAATAAAAGAAAGAAAAATACGATAAAAATAATACTAGCAATAATAATGGCAACACTGATATTGGAAAACTGATCATAACATATACAAGTGTATATATACTAATTATATGATTCACTACAATGATAATAATAATAAGACGTTAATAACAAAGAGAGTAATGACCGCAAATATAATAATATCAATAATAACCATGATAATGACAATGTGTTAACAATAATCACACTGGCAAAATAATATTATAAATTATGATAACTCGAGGCAGCTGTCAAATCACCAATAGCATGGTAACTAATAATCACCATCTTATTGCAATCATAATCATAATGATACTAATAACAACACTAGCAGCTTATGTTCCTTTCCTTCCTCTAACTTTGCATTGAAGTCTAGAAGGATTTTGAATATGTTCTCTCACCTTTCAATCAGCTTATATAGTGTACACTGGGTCGTTGAAGCAATAGCAATAATAAGAGCCTTAACAGTAATATCGATTATGATAAGATATTACTAATGATACTGATTTTTATTATCATGATTTTTTATCATTATTATTATTACTATTATATTGCCTGTTTATAAGAAGGTAATAAAAGTTTGATTAATAAATATAGAGATGAAATACGAAACAATTCTGTAATAAATATAATAACTGTAAATGTTATGATGTTAACCATAATAAGGATATTGATAATGATAGTTATAATAGTATCGGTAATGATAACAGTATGAACGTGGTATTAACGATATTTCTTTTGTTATCGTTATTGTTTTGTTATTCTTTACATTCTTTCATTTTATACTAGCATTGCTCCTGTTATGCATCGTTATTGTCATTATTGAGTTTTTAATAAATGAACAAAACAACTATCATTATAATCGTTAGTGATGATATGCTTAATATGCCTTTTATATATCCTCATTAAAGTCACAATACTCGTGATTCACTTATCAGTAATATAATCATGATTATGATCACTGCAATTGAATTATCATTATCATATTAACGTTATCATGTATACTATTAACTTTATCATGTTTTCTTATTTTCTTTTTTTAGTACCGATGATATTCTGAATACCATTATCATCATCATTATCATTGTCATCATTATAATCAACAATATCACGGTTATTTTCATTGTTATTATTACTCTTGATTTACTGATTATTATCATTATCATCATCATCATTATCATCATTATCATCATCATCATCATCATTATCATCATCATTTGCATTATTATTTTCCTCATTATTATTATTATTATTATTATTATTATTATTATTATTATTATTATTATTATTATTATTATTATCTTTATTCTTATAGTTTATTATTTTCATTACTACTACTATTGTTATTTTTTTCATTATTATTATCATTATTATCAGTATCACTAACATTACTATCACCATCATCATCGTCAATCTTTTGTTATTTTATCATCATTACTAGTATTATTATTATCATTATTATTATTATTGTTATTATTGTTATTATTGTTATTATTATTATTATTATTATTATTATTATTATTATTGTTATTATTATTATTATTATTATTATTATTATTATTATCATTATTACTATTATCATTATTATTATTATTATTATAATTGTTGTTGTTGTTGTTGTTATTATTATTATCATCATCACCATCACAATAATTGTTGTTATCATTACTATTACTATCATATATTACCCTTATCAACCTTGTTATCATTAGTATCACAATAATTTTCACTATCATTATCACTTTTAAGAACTGCTATTGGTGGATTTTTTTGTTTTTTTCTTATATATTGTTAGCAGCTTTTCGCATTTTGATTATGCGCATTTCTCGTTAACAACAGATTCACTATTACCATCATAAGCGCTACTAAAACAAAATAATGTTTAGATATTTTTAGCATCATTATCGTCAACACTAGGATCATCACTATCGTCCTTGTAATTAATTTCTTAATTTCTTCAATGTTATCATCGTCATTACGGTTGCTAACGTTAATGTCACTATCATCATTACTTTTATCCTTATCATCATGTTTATCAAAATCAACTTATCAATCACTTCCTTATCAACAATATTATTTTGCCGCTGTCGTTATTATCATTATTATCATTACTGTCACTTGTAGTAATGATAGTATGTATGTACACATATATATCCATGCAAACATATACATACATATGTATGTATATGTTTGTATTTTTGTATGCTTTTATGTATGTATGTATGTATGTATTTATGTATGTATATATGTATGTATGTATGTATGTATACGTATATATGTATATATGCGTGTGTGTGTGTGTGTGTGTGTGTGTGTGTGTGTGTGTGTGTGTGTGTGTGTGTGTGTGTGTGTGTGTGTGTGTGTGTGTGTGTGTGTGTGTATACATATACATATATATATATATATATATATATATATATATATATATATATATATATATATATATATATATATATATATATACATATATATATATATATATATATATATATATATATATATATATATATATATATATATATATATATATATATATATATATATATATATATATATATATATATATATATATATATATATATATATATATATATATATATATATATATATATATATATATATATATATATATTCTTCCTACCCCTCTGTTTGATATTAACTGTTCATTTTGCTTTATTTCTCGGTATCTTAGAATTTACCATCGTGCTACATCATATATATCCTTTATTAAAACACAATCGCTTTCACATTAGTAAGAAAGGCCATAGGAAGGAAATTAAGAACAATAATAATGTTACAGTTATCATTATTTGTAATATCATCATATCACCTCATCATCTCCTTGCAACAGTGACAACTTGCTGCTGCATTGTTAAAATCAATGAACTCAAAACCATCAATACAAATATAATTTATCTCAGCCCTTCTATAAACACCCTTTTTCAGGACTCCAACACCTCTTCTTTTTTCATGGATTTCCTTTTTTTCTCTTCCTCCTCCTTCTCCTCCTCCTCCTCCTCTTCCTCCTCCTCCTCCTTCTTCTTCTTCCCGAATGTTCATAACTAGTAAGCCAAACTATCTTATCTCCAAATCAGCTAAAATTACTAACACTTCCCGAGATCCTACGACAGCTACTGTACACTGTACCCTAACAGCAGAGTACCTCTTTGTTGGGTACACAATGCCGCAACACTGGCACTGGCACTGGCGCGTCGAGGGGCCTGGCGGTGGCTCCTTTTCGCTGACACCGAGAGGCATCCTTCCCGCGCTCCTCCTCCCCCTCCTGCTCCTCGTCGGGTTCCATCCTGCGGGTGGTCTCTCCTGCAG